TACGGCTCTGCTATAACATACAATTGTTTTGTGAGACAAAGCCGTTGTTAACCGATGTGGAACTAGCTATAACCTTTAAATGTGTTGTTGCTCTCAATAATATGTTCATGGCACTGTGTAGTTTGCATGTTGGTAATATGTTTTTAGTGCAGGGACATGAGCGATGCGTGGCACATAAACAGTATGACTGTGTTCTCAGAATGAGCAGCTATTTGACTTAATACTGATAATAAAGATATTTTTTTGTATGTTTTTGCAGATGTATGCGTGATCAAATATACTGACTCAGTGTGTGTGTTGGTCCATTTTAGTATTGTTTGTATGGAGGAAGGAGTGAGTGGTATAAAAAGATTTGAATAGCAAATAAAGCTTCAGTGAAACAAACATAATTTTTGTATGTAATTCTTTAAGCAACAAGTAAAACCTCCAGTTCATATCTGCAGATGACGGTGAGTCGTATTTGTTTTGCAAGTGTTCACTCCTGACTCTCAGTTACAGCTTCATATCAAATGTTCTCTATGCGACGCCCGTCCCATGCTGTTTAATCTCTGATGATGCTCTCAAAGTTGCTGCCATTCAGTCCCTTGTGTCACCTGTGTGTTCCCCCCTCTGACACAGGTGTATGTGTGTGTGTGTGGGTGTGTGTGTGTGTGCTGTGTTTTGATCCAGCCTGTGCTCTCAGACAACTAATGGCAACCAGGGGGAAGAAGAAAAGGGGACAAAGATGACAACAAGCTACAACAAATATACACGTAAATCACTGCAATGCTGTAGTGTGTTCCACTTAAGATCCATAGAGAGAACATAACCTGTCGCAGTATGAGACTGATCCTGTCTGTGCAGCAAATAAAATCAAAAACACAATGTGGAGAAATACAGGTGGTTTATATGTCTTTCAGAAGAGTAACACAACCAACTCAGTTCACAGGTGGACTTACGGAGGGACTAAGTAGTTTTAATGTTTGACTTGTTTATTTTTTAATTTTTACATGTATATGTAGAGATCAAACATGGAAACCTTGTGACATATTCTATCTATCTATAGCAGGAACAGGCAGATAAAGTCGCCCACTCTCGATAGGGTGCCAGGTGGGCCGCCGACCATTTTCTTTCTTTTTTTCACAACAGTATCTTTGTTTATTGTGGGGGGGGATCATAAATTACAGGTTGAGGATCATGTTAGTGCTGTACAATACATTTCAGTTTAAATACATGTTATATTAATGTTCAAGTTTTGACAACAATTTACAAGAAGAAAAAGCTTATCCCTGTATACTTCCAACACGTGGGTTAAGTCAGTACTCTCTAGATAACACATGAAGGGACTCCAGATGTTGCACCAACCATTTTCTACAGCTTGTCAGGGGACGGTCCCTTGAAACTCCTGACAGGGGTCCCGGCCAATTCTTAATATATCAGTTATTAATATTTGTTCAATAACTGGCCCTTGGCCTTCCATCATTTTGCAGAAGTGTCCCCTGGGCAAAGCAGGTTAAATATACCATGTTATGCCATTTTGTTAAGATTGGATTCCTACTCTTAGTAAAATAAACAATATCACTTTCACTGCTTAATACAATAATAAAAGACATTCTTTCATCCATTGTTTGCAACCATAATAACCAAATTTGTGCTTGTGTTGTTGTTCCTTGTAATATGCTTCTACATTCAGTTTGTATTTACTACTTATCATCTCTGTGAAAGGTGTTTCTATATATCACTGCAGTCGCTGCTGTGAATTGTAATTATAGAGACAAATGGTGATAACATATGCATATTATCAAAATGCCTCACAGGCATTGTGTGTGTCTAGTATTAAAATGCAAGTTAATATTCATATTGGTTAAAATGAAAGACTACAGCCTACGCACAATATTCTCCCATATCTTAACATACATTTTATATCAAGTACCAGCAGATTGTCTCATATATTGTCTCATAGTATGTGTACTGTTATTGTGTGCTTTCAGTATTTTAAGAGACAATTGTCCAGTGGTATATACACATATGACTGATCTAATCTTTGTGACACCTTCAGTAAAAGTAAAATTCCATGATATCAAGATGCCTTAAACAGGAAGTGACACAGTATTAATCAGGTAGCGTGTTATGAATCCGTCATATAAATGTAGTTCAGTTTTCCAAAAAACAACCCCCACAGGTTACTTTGAACGTTTAACAAAGAACCAGCAGAATGACTGATGTGAATATCAAATAAGCTTAAATCTAGGAAGTTAATGAGCCCACAGCAAGATTGAGAGCCAGCATTTTAATCTGCCTCGAGCAAACTAATATCAGCAGCCAATATAAATGTTGTCTTGGTATAAAAATGCTAATTCAGTGAGACAGAACTCTGTGAAATTTGTGGGACATAAATTAAAACCTAATTCATGATACTGGAAGCTGCACAGAGCATCCCCATCCCCACAGGTGTTCTCACTTTATCTGCCTGATTAGACCTCCTCTCAGGACTCTGTGTGTGTGTGTGTGTGTGTGTGTGTGTGTGTGTGTGTGTGTGTGTGTGTGTGTGTGTGTGTCGAGTTTGGTGACTTCACCTGATTCACTGCATCTCTGACTAACTTCAGACTGAGCAAACCCAAATCTCCAGAGAGAGCTGGATATGAAACATTTTGCTTTCACCAGAAACAATCAGACATCAAATGTGTTCAATTAAAAACTAATACATCCAGTGTGCTAAATTAAAGACACACAGTGTTCAATACAGATGTGCAGAATCTCTCATCTGCCTCTTGTTGTTCAAGCATTTATTTGAGTTAAAGATCAGCTTTTATGACTCTGAATCAAACTTACACATAAACAAATTAACAAACAAATCCGTTTAAAAAGCTAATATTACATTTGCCATAAACTAAAATGCATTACATGATGGGAAAGTCCGCAGCAGGCCAGATGTTTCCTGCCAGGTGATACTGTTTAATCAAAGTAGATAAAATTAAATTAAAAAAAAAATCACACAGAAACAGACTCTTATTCTCTACTCCATATTTTTCTTTACATTATATTTATCCTACATAATAATCATTTTAATACCCCTCCTCTTCTTACATATGTACAGATGTTATACCTATACCTTATATAACAAAACAATGTAAAATGCATTAGCTCTGCCTGAAAATAATAACTTCTAAGCACCATGGATTATGTCACAAAATAAAGTTGTCCACATTGTCACACTAAAGATGACAGGCTGCAGAGACACTCGTGAAGACAACATGTTTTTGTCCATGTTATACAGATTTGATCTCATTTCTTTTAAGCTGATTTACCCTGATGGATAGAAGGAGAGATATTACTGTGTGTGTGCAGTGGAGAACAGACCAAATCTGTGTGAGTGTGTTGAAGTTTAGTAAATTTATAATGTGTAAGTTTTTAACTTGAATTAGAACTGAAAGAACTGTGCCACTTTCAGGCTTTGACACCAGCCCAGTTGGTAAACTCAAATCCCATCATGGCACATTTAACCTCCTGAAACCTGGAGCAACTCCACTTTTCATGTGCTGCTTTCAGACATCTTTCATGAGTATTTTTGTAAACCTGAGCTAATTGGTTTGATTTCTTTAAAAAAGGCAATCAGAAATTTGGCAGAAAATATCCTGCAAATTGCAAGGAATTATTAAAAGGTGTCAAGACATTAGCAGAGAGAGAGAGAGAGTAAAATAAAATAAAGTAAAACTTAAAAAAGCCCCCAAAAAATCTATGTTTATCTATAATTATTATAATTATAATTATATTATAATTTTTATTTTAGTCCCTTTTCAGGTATTTTCAGGTGTTTTACTTTTTTGTGCTAATTTTCACTTTTTTTGTGTAACTTGTAATCATGCTCATGTTTAGGCCATTTCTTATTAAGATGCGCTTTGCCTTCTTTCCATGGTTTTAAAGAAATCAATTAGCTCTGGTTTCAAAGGGTTAAAATCAAGGCTGTGTTTCTGACTTCTGGGAAAGTTGACGCTTTAGAGGATTTTAAGCACCAGCAGCTGTTCATTGCTCTATAAATGCTCCAGAACTGATAGTTGTTTAAGGAGTTATTTCGGATGATCAGAAAACACATGAAACAAATTGTGTTAAATAAGATGGGCAACGTGGTCTCCAAATGTGGGACAATGTTCTATAAACTGTAGGACAGTAGTGTTGACATACTGCAGACTGAAATGCCTCCTGATCTTCTGAAACCAAAGCAGGTCCATACAAACACTAAAAGGAAAAGAACTCCAAAACTTTTAACTGAATAAACACATGCTACCAGCTTACAGTGCACAAATATATCTGCAGATATAAAATAAGGTCTTTAAGTATGCACTCACCACCTGGAACATACTGTTTGTCACACACTGAGGAGGAAGCCCATGAAAAATAAGTTGTTTTTCAGTCATCTTTGATTTAACATTCCATCTGTTTTTAAATATTAAATTTAACCTCTTCAAGATAATGTTTCAGCTCTGAGCTTCTGTGAATATTTTGTTTCCTCCAGGAAACCCAGGCTAAGTGATGCAGTGCAAAGTGAATCCTGGAAAAAGATAATGGCCCCAGTATTACAGTATTTTGACACCGTGACTGACTCTGCACAAGAGAATCTTAAAGCACTGCACTGGCAATTTAATGATCCAATGCAGGAAGGCAAATTGCTACTGTTGCTGGAAACTATTACTGCCATCACATTTTGCCCATGGAGCAGAGTTTTCTCATCAAATTCTGCACCTCAGGATCCGCACACCATCCAAATCTCCATGCTGCAATTGCAAGTTTACATCCCAGCAGAGGGCCCTGTTACCAATCTGTAAAGCCTCTGCAAGGCAATCCAAAACAGACACTCCCATGGTGAACTGTTCATAACTGGCTGTCAAAAAGGGAAACAGATTTCTTGTGCTTGTTTAGACAGCCATAAAATATATGTTTTTATCACAGCAGTTAATAGTCTGGTCTTTTGCATGTTAAGTTACTCAAGTTTTGTTTCCTTTTTTTATGATTCTTACACAGTAAACATGTACAATAGGTTTTTTTATTAGCAGTGCATGCAAGGTGGAAATCAGGCAATCAGATCAAAAATCCTAACTACATAAATATCTTCATTTCTTTTTTTCATTTTCATCACTGTTAAGGATTACTGTTACCCACATAATAAATAACTACTTTACAGGGTAAGTCTTCAGAGCATGTTCAGCAACTTTAGTTATGGACTGTAACATGGAGCGATCCTGTCGAAAATATACTAACAAAGGTGTTTTTGTGCTGACAAATATTTTCTATTCTTATACTCAACGTCATTTGGGATCAAGAGAATATACAGTGAGAACATACATGAATACAAGTCTGAATATCATAACAAAAATAAATACATTTTCTGGGAGGAGGTTCGATTCAGTGACACGTGGCTGCTTCCTTTCACTTCTAAACAGATTGGACGCCATACACAACAGTCTTCAGTTCTGCTGATGAGATGACCAACCCGTGCCGTGCAGGTGACAAAAACAGCTCTTCAAAAGATAAACTGTAAATCAGTGACAGATGAATTAAGACTTGGATTGATGGTAGTGTCTCATCGCCCAATACTAATCCTCTCTGCCTTCATGGCTGATGCTGCAGATTGCCTAATTTGCATTACAAAATAAGAGCAATGATTAAAAGCAATAATTAAAGTGATAAAGTGATCAATTACAGCCAGAGAAACTTTGTGGCTAGACATCAAGGGGCTTGAATACTAAACAGGAAAACACATGATGATCTATAACATAAATGTGTGGCAGCATGTCACCCAAACTTCACTGAGAGAAACCAGCAGCTTTGTCTGAACTTCAGCCAGCAGAGGGCAGCAGAGCAGAGACAATATAATATAACTACAGGGAAAGCTTGCAAAAAATACAGTTGTGCCTTTGTACTAAAAAGCAGTAACAGCATTTTCACAGAATGGAAACAGGTTCCCAACCATCTCATGCACTGTGAAGTCAAACTGAAACTATCCACTGGGCTGCAGCTGAGTATTTCCAGGCTGCCCTTGCATGGCTTTATCTTAGAAACTGGACTAGAGGGACCGTTTGCACAAAACACCTTCAATTTTCTCCTTAAGGCTTAATTTCTCCTTAGCTGAGGGACTCACTTAAGCATGTTGCACAGAATCCCTTAATAGGTTTCCTCAGTTAAGGAAAACAAGGCATTTACTACACTGAAAGCGATTTTACAACAGTAAAAGTTTGCATTAAGTGTTTATTTGCCTGCACTCATGCTTGTGATACCTGTTATTGCTTCACAAAGTTGGCCTATAGATAGTTCGAAAAACGTCAGAAGAAAAGTCAAGAAAACCAAATTGGTCAGTGGAGGAAAAGCTTGTACTTCTGGAAGAATATATCAAAAGGGATGAGCTGGTATGCCATGATCTGTATCTGTATCTGTTCAACCAAATAAATTATCTGCATCTGTATCTGTACTCAGAACAGGTGGAGTTTATACTGAGTGAGTGGGACTTAAATTGGAAATGGGTGGGACCTACCCAGAAGTTTTCATCTTATGTCTGAAACTGGTTTGGGTTGATCAGAAGTTGCTATATTTATTATTTATCATAAAAATATATTATTACAGAACAATCTCAGGATTGAACTTCAGATTATTTCTGATCACAAGACTAAGAGAGAGTAGGAGAACACAGTTTCCCAAATGAGGATTTTCATTCATCACGAGCACTGACATTAACACATTTTACTCAGTAGATACTCTTGAAAAGAATTAGCACTATCTGTATGGAAAACTTGTTTCGTCCAAGTATTCGGCTCAACTCTAATAGACAGCACATACTAAAAATTAAATCTAATCCCCAAATAACAGATAACAACAATTGTGGGGTAGGACATTGCATTAAACATTAATTCAATCGAATCTATAATGTAAAAGGTAAAGCTTATCCATTGGGCCGAACACTCTTTTCAGGGTGCCTTTATTTCTTTCATTTATTGCCATAAACTCGGCCATGTTGCAGTTAACATAAAGTCAGAGGTACCTCAAGTTGTTTTTTAACTTAACTTGGGTTGCAAAGGTCTTCTGTGCAACGGTTTAGGGATCCCTTAAGTATAAGGCCAAGACAAGTAGTAAACCTTAAATGCTACACTCATACAGAAGTAATCCCTCTCAATTATCACTTACATCCCACTACAAGTGTGTGGTGTATTTATCTGCAGAGATTCTGCTCTGTGCCTGTATTTTCTTATTTCCTGTGTTTGGGACATTTATGGGTGTGTACCCCCACAGCAGGTGAGCTCAGGGCTGTATAAAAAGGTAGTAACCAGGTGCCAGATCATGAGCAGCAGGCATTGAAGAGACACCGCGCCAGAGAAATACAAATATAGAGGCAAAACGCCAAACGAGAGGGAATCTGAGGCTGGCTTTTAATTTTGCTGGCAAGCACGTGCACAAACAGTAACTGAGAATCCTGCACAGCATACATCTAAGGAGATTTTATTTTAATGGAGCCTTAATTCGGACTTTAAAGGAAAATCTTAACTTAAGGTATTTTGTGCAACCGGCCCCTGATCCTAGCTCACCATGCATGGTAGAGGAGTGTTGTAGTTCAGCTGCAGGTTGGTAAAGCAGATAAATCATGTGGTATTTGAGCCAGAGGGTCAGTGCAAATGGGACAGAGGTCTCAGGTGGTTCAGTGTTGGCATTTCTTATCTTTCTGCCACAGCTACTCTCTATCCTGTCCTCCCTCTGCCACTCTGTATTTCTCCCCTTCCTGCACAACTCCACAGAGGAAAGTAACAAACTGCTTTTTAAAAGGTTAGATTTCACTGAACTGCAACTTGTTTGTTACATTCAGTGTACATGGGAGACATTTGGTGCATGTTACTGCTTCATGTGATCATGAAAAAGGTCATTACCAACAAAAAAAACATAAAAATCTTAAGAAGTAAAGAAGCAGGTGTAACATTTAACCGCCTGCATTCTTGGTAAAAGCAGCTCACTGGTTGTCATGGAGTGTGAATGACTTTAAGACATCATCAAAAGGCAGACATGCTTGTAAAACTAAAGATACTTGATATGGAAGGGCGCATCTTTATATGCAAAGGTTACCCTCATTCCTTGGCTCGTCATCGCCCCTCAAAAAACTGATTAGGAATTACTTTAACACTGCTTAAACGAAACATTGACATGCCTCTTTGTTCAGTCTTTCTCTATGAGGAGTTCTTACAACGAACAAGAAACCTTTGAAATCAAAATGTCATGTACGATATTTTTTTCTGAATGATCTCCGAAAGTATTTTTTTCTTGCATTGGTAACAAACTTAGTGATATTTTCAGGAGCCCTCAAATCTTCAACCACCCTTACCTAACCATCTAGAGTCAGAGGTTTATATATTCAACAGAGAAAGAGGCCACTTCAGTGTGGTTTAGATAAATGAGTTTCAGCCCGTGTCGGTCAGTCAAGACAAGTTGAGGTTACGGTGCGATAAGTTGGAGTAGCAGCAGTCCAATGAATCGACCATTTCTTGTCTCTTCAAGAGATGGTCCGGTCCCTGTGCTTAGGTTCAAAGTCAACAATCAAATAATATCTAAAATCCTCTTCAGAATACCTTTGATAGTTTGACTGGGGCCTTGCAAAGTAAAGTAGCCGGGGATTAGACTGTAACAGGTTGAATGACATTTTCCATACACTCCAGTCCGCCAGACAGTCCCAGTTATAAGTATTCTAATGGATTCCAAATAGTATTTGTTTCAGGCGAGATGAAAGTTTCAGTTTTTGCCACTCTCTTTTGAAGCGGGCGGGGGTTGCGTCTTCTCCTCCGCTTCCGTCTGGCCCTCTTTCTTGTCGTCGTCGTCCTTGAAGAACATGAGAGGAAACATGCCCAGGATGCAGCCGATGCCAACACCGATGGCTTTACCCTGCACGGAGGGAAATAAAGTAAGAATAGTAGTGACAGGATACATTTTCAGAAAATGGGTTTTAAATAATCCACACACAAAGTTCAGCTTTACAGATCTGTCGTTTGCAGTACATAAGCCTCTTACATTTGACTTACAAGCAAATGTTTTACCCAAACTGTCCTTTTGTTGTTGTATTATTTTGTTATGACTGAGTTTGGGCTAAATTCAGATATATATTCTATATACATGCTTGCAAAAAAACACCACAGGTACTGCCGCACATGCCAGGACGATTTCCTTGACCTTTCACAATCGGCAAAGAGCCTTTCAGTGCTAGTTTAATCACTCGACCTAATTACAGCTAATTACATTTCACACTCCAGCAGTCACAGTGTATTAAGAATCATTCAGGTCTAATTTCCTCGCCCGGTTAAAGAGTGATTGAAGGGGCACATCACAGAGACTTGTGTTTCTATTGTCGCCGTACAAACCCCTGACCAGTGTTTACGATGCATTACACAACGAATCCCCCGAATGCTCTTTGAAGCAAGTTCATTATTATCCACTCTGAGTTTATGTTGAGTGTTTATTAGTCTGATGGGCTTTTGTCTGTCTTTCACACTCGCACATTAAAAATCCAGACGAGCATTTAGTTACTGTTGTACTATAGGAGTGACAGAGGCGCAGAGCAAAGTTGTGGGTTGTAGTGAAGTGTGTTGATACCAACCGAGTGAGAGCTGACTCTGGTCTGCCACATGTCAGCCTGTTTTGGGCTCAAGTCAGGAATCTGCATTCCCAGCCGATACGCCAAGGCCTCCACATAACCTGCCAGCCTGAAGAGAGGAAGAGACAAGACAGAGGAAAGTAGAATCAAACTTAGCTGCAATCAGTGACCCAGAAACGAGACAGTTCACCCCAAAATCCAAAGTACATATTTTTCCTCTTACCTGTAGCGCTATATCAGTCTAGATTGTTTTGGTGTGAGTTGCCGAGTGTCGGAGATATCGGCTGTAGAAATGTCTGCCTTCTCACCAATATAATGGAACTAGATGGCACTTGACTTGTGGTGCTCAAACTGCCAAAAAAATAGTCAGCAGCAATGTCTCCTTCCAGAAATCATGACCTAGTTACTCAAGACAATCCTCAGACCTTGTTGGGAGCAGTTTCATGTAGGAACTATTTCTTTCTGCTGAACTACACCTGTCAACTGTTTCACCATGCAGAAGGAAGCTCACCTAGCACTGACAATGTGAGTTTTTTAAGTGTATCTTTCTGGCACTTTGAGCACCACAAGCTGAGTGCCATCTAGTTCCTTTATTTCAACAGAGGGTAGACATCTCTACGGCCGATATCTCCAACACTCGACAACTCACACTGAAGTAATTTACACTGATAAATAGCACTATTTTTTTTATTTTTGGTTGACCTGTACATTTAAGCTGCTTTGAGAAACAGTCAATGAATTATTCTTCTATTTTGTCAAGGCAGTAATTTTGACATTTAACAGGATGAAAAGCCTGTTCGAGCAGAGCAGAGAGACATGGTTGGCATAAAGGTCAGTAATGGAGACATGAATCAGTTATAGACTCAATATGTGAGTAAATGTGAACAGGCCTGTTCATTCATTCACGTTGCCTAGCCGCTTATCCTCCTTGGGGCTGGGGTTTGGGGGCTGGAGCCTATCCCAGCTGACATTGGGTGAGAGGTGGGGTACACCCTGGACAGGTCACCAGACTATCACAGGGCTGACACATGGAGACAGACAATCATTCACACTCACATTGACACCTATGGAAAATTAAGAGTCACCAATTAACCTGCATGTCTTTGGCCTGTGGGAGGAAACCAGAGTACCCCGGGAGAATCCATACTGACACACAGAGTGGTGACGCCTGGCAACAGTGCTAACAACTGATCCACCGTGCCGCCGTGTTCAGGCATGTGCAGAATGCAAAAGATAAATATTGTACACACAGTGTTGACTCTAAGCTTCACACTTTGTGACTACAATGACTTATAGGAATGAAATGTATCACTAAAACAGCTGTGTTACATGTACTCACAGGCATATCTGTTCAGGCTGTAATTTGTATATAGATTAAATGTACAAGCGCTTGTTCATGTTTGTTTTGTTCCAGATGCTTTTCCTACTTTACATGTTCTGATCCATTAAACCACCTTCAGAACATAAAGTAGCACAGCAAAGTAATGACTAACGTAATTGATAATGTTGTAAAACAAAGGAAATCAGCAGATGAATGTTCCAGTTGGTGATTTGTTGAATCTATGTGTCATAAAAGCAGCAGGATGTCAAATATTAGCTCTACTAACAGAAAGAGACAGACTCCAGGGTGTATGGATGAAATCATTTCCAGCGTTTTTCAACGCTTCACACAGATGATTTAACAAAGACAGATTGCAGCATGCAAAGTATTGTGTTCACTGTGTAACAGAGATGTATCATTAAAAAACTAATCAATCATACAAAACTCTTTTATTTTAATTCTAAAGTTGTAAGTTGTGTGTAGATGTTTAGATGATGTGTTTTTCTGTCCCTTAAACAGTAGATATATAACTATTAAATAAAACTAGTAAAATGCAGATAAATTGGTTGTTTTGATTCTTTATACATAGATTTTAGTTTGGAAGGAAACGTTGCTAAAGCTAAGCATCGGCCTGATATCATGTGCAGTGTGCAGGTTCATCAGTGTATCGACCGACGACCAGAGATGGGTGACTGTCTGCCAGTGCACTGATCCAAAAGTGACCAACAGAAAGTTTATAGATTACTGGCCAATATTTCCCTCAGTGGGGATAAAGGTCACATGTTTTATGTCAACATGAATAACAACAGAGAGAAATGATTATAAAGTTGCTGTTAGCCATTATTGTGGTCAAATATGCCAACAACCGAATTTAAATCTAATGATATCTGTGAGGAAACTGGGACTTTGTTGCAACCATGTAGCAAGACTAAAAATGTGTCACATTCAATAATATATTTTTAAAAATATTGCCATGAAAGATGTCCAAACACTTGAGTCAAGCTTCCAAACTGTATACTAGACAAATGTTGCCTCTGGCTGGTAAATATAGGTTGGACCACTCTCACATTTCATTTAAAGATTATCAGTTTTTGCTGTCACAGAGAAGATTTAGAGTCCCACAGACTCGAGTGAACAGGTTGAGAAATGTTTTTGTTGCTCAGTCTGTCAGCTTCAGTGTACCTGAGGTCAAACATTGAATGTAATAGGGAATGATTCATGTGTTGCCCAGCATCCACTTTTTTATAATGTTTGATGTGATAGGTAAGACAAAGTTTTGAATTTTTATGACAATAGAGTGAAATCAAATCAAGTCCAATATAACCTCTCAACTGCAGCTGATAAAACAGCCCTCTCATTTAGGGTAGACTGCACCATCGACTATAAGAAGCTAGTGGAGCTCTTGTTTGTCTCTGGGTTTAGGTGCATAAGGTGATCTATAAAAAAAAGAGGTTTATCAGGCCTAGTTCTGCCACACACATCTGACACTGACCCATTTTGCCCAGAGTCCCTATAACCAGCCAGTATCTCTATACTGGAATACTGTGACTATAGGCCACTGTAATAAATTTAAAGTGACAGAGACCATTTTACAGGCCTTCATCTCATTACACCTGAATCACTGCAACAGCCTCTTTTCATGCTTGAACCAAAAAATCTATCGATCGACTTCAGACGGTCAGCTGCCAGGCTTTCAACCAGAATCAAGAGACGTGATTACATCACTCCAGTTTCAGCCTCACCGGCTTCCAGTATGTTTTGTCTTAGTTCTGCTGTGAAACTGTGCCTCCTTAGGGTAAGGAGATACCCATACAACAATGCATCTGGGCTGGACAGCCACAAAGAGGTCCACAGGCTAAGATCAATGCAAAAATAGTCAATTTATTTTGGACATACATGCACAAAAAGAAGGGTGTCCCTACCTCAAAGTGCAAAAAATAATAAAAAGTAATATAAACGCAGCAGCAAACATTTCAGTCCTTGACTATCATCAGTGCTACTGACATGAGTGCTTCACAGAACAGATATAGACACAGATTCCTACCTGGTAGTAGGAAATCTGGGACAGATTCCAACTACCAGGTAGGAACACCCTTCTTTTTGTGCACGGGTGGTTTTATTTGATTTTACTGATTGCTGTCTTCATGGCTTCTCTCCCTGCTATATCTCTGACCTCTTAGCACCGTACATGCTGGTAGAAACCTTGAGATCCTCGGGCAGAGGACTTTTGTCTCTTTGATTACACACAACCCTTTTTAAGAATATGCATCATGTTGGCATAATATCATCTGCAATATTAAGGGGTTAAAACTAGATTTTGACATAGGGCCCATTAACAAGACATGACTCAAGCTTTAAATTGTGCTTTAGGGGGTATCTAAAGGTGTGGGGCCTGCAGCACTTTGCTTGGTTAGTAATCCAGCTTTGCTAATATACACATTGAACTAACTACAATCACAAACGCAATGACAGTGACGACCACACTAATAACTGCCACTGAAAGCGTCTGGAGAGGAGCTGTACTTTATTGTAGTGTGTGGTCAGAGCAAAAAATAGTGCAGGTCAAGCAGCTCCAGTGTGAGAGAAGAATTTCGAGTCAATATTTGACCCAGGTCTGGCTCAGTCACTGGCACTAATGGATCCTCAGTTCACTGCACACACAAATAAGCTGCTGCTGGAGCTGCCGAGTCAGGGGAGTGATAAGCAGCAAGTAGAATATTTGAGAGAAAGATAACGGGACAGGGTGAGGATGCCGATGTGTGTATGTGTGTGTGCCTGATGAAAATCGCCTTTCATGTCAGTAAGGCAGAAATAGAAACTTTTTCGGGGAGATTTTGGATGTCAGAGCTCAGCCTCTACTTTCAGAGAAACTTTCTATTCTGCTTGCAAAATGTCAAATCAAATTGAGACAAATGAGACATGATATGATGTGCTACGCTGGTTACATTGTTTTCTTTTCTATGAAATTTAAACTCGTCACCAATCCAAATATTGCCTCTCATATATTCACACAAAACTAATTTTCCTCTGGTGCATGCCTCGCTGGTGCTACTTTGAGTGAAATCCAGCCCGAATATTTCACATATTTGCAACAGCAGAAGGCGAAAGAAATCAAGGCTGCATCAGAAAATGAAATACCTGTGGTATTCAAAACACTAAAATGACGAAATTTACTGAAAGCACAGCCAGCTGAGGCCTTGGACCAATTATGAGCATGTGAGAATCAGACATGAGGCTGGAACTCAAGCTGGCTGTCCAGAGGCTTAAAAACGCTCCTGGAAAAACAACTGAATATATTATCATTATCAAAGCATTCCCTCAAGTGTGGGCAATAACTTTGTTCTGTTGCATTGGACTGAAATAGTTTAAAGGACACAGGAGCTCTCATATTGTTAGTGGTAACAGGTGCAGAGAGCAGTGGTGCGAAATAAGTGAGAAAAATAACAAAAATGTTACAACTATAAATGAGAGATGATTGTACATATGGTGTGTTTCCAAATGTGTCATAGAAATCATCCTTAGACAGGATAACCTAAGATTATGCCACAATTTAAACAAGCATCCGCCCTACTGATGCATCCTTCAGCTAAACACTGACTCCCTTCTGGTATATAACAGATACTGGGCTTTAAACCTCTGTAGAGGAAGGCAAACTAGACTTTCCCTAAGGGGATCAATGAAGAATCACCCTCTGGTAATCCTGACAGTTTTATAAGGACAAAAAAAGATACATTAACCACAAATCATCCATTTGTTAATTGCCTTTATCAGCTTTTTGCAATAAAGGT